CCAATGACATTTCTGTAGGAAATGTAATACGTTTCCTGACTCACCTGTTTAATGCTGGACTGGGATACAGCTCTATAAATACAGCTCGATGTGCCTTATCATCTCTTGACTGTTCTAGTTCAACCCCTATTGGAAGCAATCACCTGGTTTGCAAATTCATGAGAGGAGTGTTCAACTCAAGGCCTACCCAGAGTCGTTATACAATGGTATGGGATGTTAAGATAGTCTTAGACATGTTCAGACAATGGAAAGATAATACTGAACTTACGCTTAAAGAGTTAACTCTGAAAACCGTTACACTAGTGGCATTAATAACAGCACAAAGAGTGCAGTCAATTTATCAATTTGATTTGTCAACAATGGTTAAAGGGGAACATAAGTTAGCATTCAAGTTAGAACTACTGAAACAAAGCAGACCATCAATCAAGTCACCAATTATAGAGATTGTAAAATATCAACTCTGCAAGAAGATTTGTGTTATGGATGCGGTCCTATCCTACATCAAAAGAACCGAGACATTGAGAGAGCTGGGTGAAACTAAACTTTTTCTGACTCATCAGAGGCCCTATCATGCTGCATGTTCCAGCACTATCAGTAGGTGGATTAAATCAACTTTAACCTTAGCAGGGATTGACACTAAGAAATTTAGTGCTCATAGCACYAGAGCAGCTTCCTCTTCTGCAGCAGTGAAAGCAGGAGTGCCAGTTTCTGATATTTTGAGTGCTGGAGGGTGGTCGACAGAACGGACATCTGCTAGGCATTATAATGTACATGTTGAGGATCCCAACACATTTGCAGAGGCTCTCTATACATGTAAATCCTAGACAAAAGGTTATTTTTTCTCACCATTGCAATTTGTAATAACATGTTAATTGCCAAGTGCATGTTACTGTGTTCAATTAACCAGCTTTATCCTTGTTTTGTTTACAAAATAAAAAGTTAGTAGGGTTATAACAGTTGTCTTTGATATTATGACAACATGCATATTGCCACTGTTGTGCTACAGTAATATTGGTGGGCCTGCATTTATCAAGCTTCAAAATCTCACATGATCCCTCAGGCTGATGACGTAGAAGAATTAGAAAATTAAACGAGACTTACCAGGAAGTCGAAGTTTGATTGGGATTCTTCTACGTCATCTTTAGCATGAGGGATCAGGTGCCCACCCTGACAGTGGTTAACCCTCCCTGTAATATCTTGGGTGATAAATACAGGCCACTTATCTTTGAAGACTGAAGTACGCATGCGCACTGCAATCTCACCTGATCCCTCATGCTTCTTTTTTTCTTCTCTTTTTTCAGCATTATGTTTATTTAGCTGAGGCCAAGTTTAATGTCAAAAACCATTTTGATTCAGATAATGCATCAAGGGACTCGTCTACACAAGGAATCGAATACGCATCTTTAATAGTGGCAGAATTTAGCTGTCAATAATCGACATGAAGCCTCTAAGTGTCGTCGTTCTTTGGAACTAGTACGACCGGTGATGATGCAGAAGTAGTTAATTTACTTGGCTTTTAATTTTCTTGCGTTTCCAGGGTGATTATCTCCTTCACACTGTCGGATTGGCGTGGTATCTCCAGTTTCAATTCTGTGTTCAACGGTGTGCGTCTTCCCCATATCCGAGTTAGAAAGAGAAAAACAACATGCTGATATCCATAAAGCAATTGTGATACTTGTTTACGTAAGAGTTGGTTAGGTGTCCTGAGCTTTTGGTTAGTAGGTCCTGTAATGGTTGTGGTACAATCCTCTCTGATGGTTCTTGCATGGTGTTTTCATGGGCAGCTCTTGCTCTACTCTGTGATACTTCTACATGTTCATCAGGGGGATCAAATGGGTACACAGCATCAATAGGTTTAGCCTGCGTGGCGG